GGTGCAACAACAACATAGTAGAAAACTCACTTTGTAAGCCACAGGAAATGTAGACAGGCAGTTGATGACAGGAGGAAGTACAGCCAAGAGTCACTTAATGATGGGAATACATTCAGAGAAATGCATTGTGAGGTGATTGTGTGATTGTGAAAACCTCATAGAGTACACTTACACAAACCTACATGGTATAGCCTCCCACACACTTAGGCTATTTTGTGTACCACCATTGTATACGAGGTGTGATCGTCCGGTGAATGTTTAAATAAAAAAAAGTATTACAGTAAAAGACACATTGCCATTAATCCCCCTCAAAATAGCCCCCTTGCTTCAAAACACACTTATCCCATCATTCTTGCCACTTTCTGAAGACGTTCTGGAAGTCCTCTTTCATGAGTGTCTTTAGTTGTGCTGTTGTGGCTGCCTCAATGTCCTGAATTAATTCAAAACATTTACCTTTCGTGCTCATTTTGACTTTGGGAAAGAGCCAGAAGTCACATGGTGCCAGATCCGGTGAATAAGGTGAATGAGGACACACCATAATGTTTTTATTTCACAAAAATTGCCATACCAGAAGCGATGTGTGACACAGAGCCTTTCCATTATGATCACAAAATATGGTGAATGCTGCTGCTTAGTGCCATCCAACGGAAAGGTAGGTATCTTCGATACACAAGCAGCACATGAAACCTTAGTAACAGTGTGTGACAAGTTTCAACTTGTTCAGTGCAGTCAGTCAGGTGTGAACTACAGTTGAGAGAAGGTGTGTTTTAAAGTGTGCCATAAATCATCCTCCATCATGACAATGCTCCTTGTCACACATCACTTCTGGTATCCGGCAATTTCTGTCAAATAAAAACATTGTGGTGTGTCCTNTTTTTTGGCACCCTCTGTATGTGTCAATCCCAGCTATAAATATGCATGTTATGGCACTATTCTGTCAGGACTACTGCTTATTGTTTTGATCATACCCCCACTGTGTACTAGGATCTTGATTGGTTGACTGAGTTTTAATGTTTAACATTTATTTTATAGATGGACATTTGGGGGTGCATAAGAATGTTAGAACCTAGGATCTTGATGTAAATAGCCAGTGACAGTTCTTCCCATCAGTGTTTTCCTGCCACCAAACCCAAGGGACTTAAGGAACTAGAGATTTCATGAAGACACACAATTTTTTGGTAAATTGAACATACTGTAGAACCAGAAGTCGATAAATGATATAAAGATAATTTAAGCATAATATACACAGAATAACTCTGGATTCTCTATGTAAGGAAGGATCTGACATTGACTCCACTCTTCACTAGGAAGTAGCAAAGCCCTCGGCCAGAAGAGTTGGTCTCAGTTAGGTTCACATCGAAAGCTTCTTCTGACAGTCCTGTCCAGGTTTTGCTGATACTCTTCTGGACAACCCACACTCTTCTTGTCACATTTAGCTCAATGTTTTTGGATTTTGTGTCCTTGTTCTTTTCTTTGTCTCATTCTTTCAAGAGATAACTTACTACATGCAGACATTGTACTAGGTATTGGTACTTGAGTTGTACTTGCAGACATTTTTCAGTTTGGAATTATGCAAAATTCAAAGTTCACTTTAGTTATTAAGTCTTTATCAATGACAAATCTAAGACAGTGGGCTTCCTCTATTCTGTTCTGTAAAGTATCAACCTCTGATTATGAATTATGCTGGCAATGCTTCTTTTATTAGTTTTTAAAATTTTCCATTCTCATAGCCCTTAAGCTCTGCTCATTGTCTGCTCTGCAGAGCACTCCGGCCTTTGGCCTCAGCCAACATCTGATTCTGATGGGAGGGCTTCCATCCAACTCTCTCTGGTAAGAAGAGAAATAACCCGACTGGGACTAGCTTGAAAACATCTGTCCATCTGACCCATGCTGGCCAATCAAACTGGGCAAAAATAAAAATGTTATAACTCCTCTTGGGTAACATTCTTCACTGCCTGCCCTCGACACACATACACACATTTATAGTAACTGAAGGAAATTTACCATGTAATTATCATACCAAATGGTATGTGGGTTATATACAACAGACTGTAATAACATGAATGATCAAGTAGCAAATTAACCGAAACCTTCCAAGCAGCCAATTGTACTCAGTTCGAAGTTTGTATTTCTTATGGTCATGCTTACGGTTTTATATTGCATATATATTTCTGCTAGTAAAATTTCTTTTTAGTTTATATGAACACATGAAATATATCATTATTCTGTAATGTTCCACAAAAAGCATAATGATCTAGGGAAAATGCCACAGCTATTGACCCTTACGCTTTGAACACTTTCAGGATCTGTGGGCTTACAGAGGCCTATATTGAAAACTTAACAGAGTAAAAGTGGCCCTTCTCTGAACCCTTAGATAGAAGGCATTATTATCTTTAAATGCCTGCCTTTGGCGCAACTTCATCCATTTAACTGTGCATTTCAAACCATGTTCTCCAGGTCGAGGAGAATTGCATTTATCCTCAGCATCAGTCCTATTATTTCATCCTGAATGTAGGTATCTTTTCTCCCTGATACAGGTACCTGGGCAAAAAGATTTCAATAGAATTGTGAAGAGTAACAAAAAGAAAGGATCAAAACAACCACTTCAGTGGGAAAAGTGAACAATTTTCAACTTGATAATGAATTTTATAGTCTACATTTCTGTTTTCAAAATTGCAAGTTATAATCCATTAGACAGTTGTGAATTCAATTTAGTTTTGTGAATTCAATTTAATGGGTGGCAACCAATTTTTGAGAGACTGTCAGAAAGAATAGAGTAGGATACAAGATAAAAATCATGGACATATCTGAATGTGTTGATAAATATTTTTACAGAAAAAGTTTTAAAATATACAAATTACATATTTTTTCAGTTTATATAGGGATATCTATCTATCTATCTATCTATCTATCTATTTGTCTATACATACTGAGTCACAATTTAAGATCTGTTTCTTATTGTGTCATGGTCAAAAATTTTTGAAAGCCACAGGTATATAGGTGAAACACATGGATACATTCAAAACAACCTATACTGGTTCTTCTGGTATTTCCTTTTGTGATCATCAGTTAAAAATCTATCTAAACAATATTAACAATGCAAATTGCTTAGTGTACCCATCCACTAACTTGCTGAATACATGAGAACCTCTTTCCACCCACACTGTAAGATCATGAATTCTGCACACATATCTCAACAACACCTATGCAAACCTATTACCACACTTTGCCTGTCATTCTTCCAAGTTCACTTTCCCCTGCTCAGGCTTGCTCTAGAAGATGGTGGTATAAATCAAAATACTTTCCCCCTGTTCAGTGGTTAGAAACTCAAACACAATTTTAAAGTCAAAGACAATTTTGAAACCTTCTTGTAGGTGCCTGTGGCTTATCATCTCAGCTGAAGGCTCACTGGAGTCATAAAGTCCATCTTAGTCTTGACCCCATCCAGGAAAAGTTTCACCCCAGTTCAAAGAGTTTTGTCTTCTCCTTGGCTACAGATTGCCTTGTGAGCCTAGATAGATCAACATTAGGTCATCTCCATTCAATCATAAGGGAATTTATGTATGCTGAAGTCTAGGTGTCTGCCTGGCCTTATTCACTAGGTACAATATATGGATGATCTCCCTTCTCACTATTGGTTTGACTTGTCTGTCTTCCCCAGTGGACACCCTTTATGGAAAGGTGTCCACCTTTTATTTCTGTAGCTTCAGCATCTGATACAGTTCCTGGCAGACAGGAAGCACTTGATAAATGTTGGTTGGGAAAATGAATGACCGTCCTGTGTTTTATGAAATTGTTGAGAAAATAGGCTCAGTAAGGGTCAAACAGTTCATCAATAACAGAGACAAGATTATAACTTAGCTCTTGCTGATTCTAAAATTCATGACATTTTCATTTTGTTGCACCTGCACTACCAGGAAAATCATTCTAAAGAACTTTCTTTCCTGTAAGGGGTCTTAATTACCACTATCCTATAAGAGATGTGTGATGATGTTGATGAATTTCAACTGTTGCAAAAATACTTTCTTGGATAGTTAGCTTTGAAAGGTGGAACTATCAAGAAACAGAAATGTGGCAAAAACAATAGAGAGCTACTTCCAGTGCCTCTCGTTTTTCTGTACAGCATTTTATCCATCTACTAGAGGGAGTCGTAGTGCTTGTCCAGTAGCAGACAATAATGTATATTCATTTCATTTTAAGTTACTTGACTCCATATGCCTAGAGAGACAGTATACTACAGGACTGGTACTCAACTGAGGCAATTTTATCCTCTAGGGCCCAATTGACAATGTCTGGAGACATTTTTAACTGTCACAACTGGAGAGGGGGCTGCTCCTGTCAGCTAGAGGCCAGGGATGTTGCTAAAAAACCTGCAATTCATAGCACATCCCCCAGTAACAAAGAATTACCCAGCCCCAAGTGTTAATAGTGCCATGACTGAGAGGCCCTGCTACGGAGATTAAGGATTCCTCTTCATCGGGACCATTTGGGTTGAACTCTTGGCTCCACCATTTTTCATCTGAGGGACCTTGGTTCGAGTCATTCTGCGTTAGTGTCTCTATTGATAAAATGAAGACAGTAGTAGTATGTATATCATATGGTTACATGAATTTAAAGCAAAAGACAAAAGGGCTTAGAATAAATAGAAGCTCTTGATAAATACTACTTACTATTAAAAAAAAACTAGTGGATTAAATAAGAAATGATGCTTTGGTGAACATACATCTTCCCTGGTGCTCCCATCATTCTTGTCTACTGTTTGTAGAAAGGGCAATAGTTGACAGATAGTCTTTCCTTTTTTTACATTGTAGCTGGCTTGAATATAGATGTTGGTGTCCTTTCCTGGGGTAGGTTACTTGGTATGAATATCTCAGAGTACCCAGTGGAGTCACTAAGTGGTTGGTTCGTGCATTAAGTATCGTGTTAGTTCTGTGCTATTATCACCTTCAGCTGGATCCACTTTCATCCTCTATTACAGGTACAGGTTCTAATGTGCGAAAATGAAGTCCCAGGCAACCATGATTTGCTGTTTAATGTTATTTCTGGCCACAGAATGTTCTCATGATAGATCCAAGATCCACACAAAAGTAAGTTTGATCCATTTTTTTTTTAAAGCATTCTTTAGCAGTTTCTT